TTCAAAGAGTAGAAATGCATTTATAATATTTCCACTTATTCCTGAAGGCAGAAAACAATCTTTTCTTGAATCTTGGTTCCCTTCTGTAGGTAGGACTCAGAATAATTTCACTTGGAAAGAGAAAAAAATTATATGCCTCATGAAAAAAGACAATTGGATCTCCCAGAGATGGATTTATTAATTGGGAATTCACCTAATATGTAAAAACAAAAGAGGTCTTAAGATTGTATAAAAATAATTTAATGGTTTGATGTTTTCATAAATGTTCCTTGCTAAAAAAAGTTTTATAAACTCTAACATAAAAGCCTCCTACATAAAATTACTAAAAGTAGATTATGGGTTATTTAATTGTTTACTGAGAATTTGTAGCATTTTATAATGACACTTAAGTACTATCTCTCTGCTGTTTGATATTATGGTTTATAGAGTGTGTCTTTAGGAAATTTTAAATTGTTTCCATTCAGAATCAAGTCAACCAACACATGAAGTTAATGAATTCTACAATATAGCAGACATATATCTGGCTTTTGTTTAAGTCTTAAGAGACTAATTGTTGATGATCTTAAATTGTGATAAGACATGCTTCTACATTCACAGGCTATGTGCTGCTTTCCTTTAGACTCAGCCTTTAAAAGAGGCAGGTTTTTGTCTTATTTTATTTCTCTATCTGAAAGGAAAAAATCCTTATCAAGGAAAGAATAAATCACCACATATTACATATATCACTACACACAGTATTCATAGGTTACTACATGACTGTAATTTATTGGAAATGATAATATTGTGTTTGTATTTTCTCACACGTTAATCAGGCAAACTCTTTCTTTTTAAAAAAACCCACTGTTTTTTTTCCCCCTCGTTCTATTTGCTTACCCTAAATGTTGACATGCAGAACAGGTGTGAAATTGAGAGATCAGCCATTTGCAAAGGGCATGGGAGCATTTGAGAAGATTGAATTTCTTACACTTTATACCTTGTGATGTTTGTTGGTTTTTAAGCTACTGAGCTACTTCATCTGAAAACATGCCTTGCTCTTTTCATTTTCACCTTAGCCACTGAATTAAGATATGCATTATTTTTATTTCAATAGATAATAGGTATATTATTTTCCAAAAAAAAAAAAAAAACCAGAGTGAAGGGAATGTTTCTTGTACTAGGAAGAATTCAAAAATATGGAAAGTCAATTTAATTATTAAGAGAAATAAAAAGGATTGTTTCTCTCCTTCCTACATCCCAAATCCAGTGCACTTCTGTCTTGCTTCTTCACATTCTCTTTGCCTTTTCAGCCTTGTCTTCAGAAGTTTCCTAAGCATCCCAGCTTTGATTTGGTTAAATTCACTCATTTTTTTCTTTTTTTTTTTAAAGAGAGTGTGAGAGGGGGAGAGAGGGAGAGAGAGAGAGAGAGCGCTTTAATATTTATTCTTTAATCATCGGCGGACACAACATCTTTGTTTTGTATGTGGTGCTGAGGATCCAACCCGGGCTGCACACATGCCAGGCGAGTGCGCTACCACTTGAGCCACATCCCCAGCCCAAATTCACTCATTTTTAAATGAGACCTCAGAGTACCCTGCTTACATTGCAGCAACAGGAAAGAAGGGAGTTATCACTATAATTCAAGAATAAAAGAAAGGAGGTATGACTACACTTCAGTTCTATACACAAGTATTCACTGAAGATTAATACAAATTTCTCCTCACAGAGTGGTCAGAAGAAAGAAAAGAACTGTATTCTTGTCTGGAATAAGCAGATGGTTCAGTCAGGATGATGAGGTCTCAGGGCATGCAAGAAGAGGGTTAATGTCATAAGCCATATGGAAATACAGCCCAAAAACTGAAATAGGAAGGTACTTAAAAAGAATGGACACTTGAACTGTATATAGAAAAGTGTGAAAAAAATGATAGGAAGAGTAAAATAGAGACAACTGAAGGTGTCCTCTAGGCAAAGAGGTACATATTTAATGTCACAAAGAAACAGATATGTATAGCATATTTTGTGAAACAATGTACTTTGCAGGACTAATAGAGTATTTGAGGCAAGAGACAGTGGGAAATAAGGTTGGATGGTTTGGGTTTAATGATGAAGAAAGATTTACCAATTTCAGACAGAGCTAGTAATTTAATCAGGCATTGTAATTTACTGCAAAATCAGATTTTGAAAGTATTACCCAAATAATGATATATCTGTAATTCACTATTGACTTACCCCACTGCCACCTTATCTTCTTGAATACAAAGAATGGGACATAACAGGAAAAGACTTGGGGGATTTTTTATTAAATTTCAAACAAAGTATTGCTTTATCTTTGAAAAATGAATATAATATGCATGAATTTAACAAATAGAGAAATGATACAAAGTAAAAATCCTGTACTTTTTAAAGAGTTGTTTGTTTAATAAGGTTTTAGCACACTACAATTAAAGACATTTCTTACAAAACATGCACAAATCCAGGTTGAAAAACCTTATGAAAATTTAATTTGCAGTTTAAAGTGGTTTGGATAAAGTGATGGAAACATTGGATTAATCACCAAATATATTTTTAAGAAGGAAAAGAAAATCATAGTGACAAAAATTTTTATTGCAATTTTTCCCCAAAACATTAACAAAATAAAATGAGCTTAATCAAATAAATAAAAGGAATAGTTTCAGCTGTTCTCTTCAGGTAGGTGCACAACTGTGGAAGTGTCTAGAGAACATGAGCTGTCATAGTTCTTTTATACCTTGTTGCAGAATCAAAGTCTATCCTATTGCTCAGTTTCATAGGAACTGGTTAAGATGGGATTCAACAAATAAAAGATCCTTATTTCATGCTTCAGTTTACATATTCACTCAATGAAAATTTGAAAGCAAAGTCAGATATTATAGCAAATCGGTAAAAGGTACTGCTTATATCTTTACTAGTTTTGTTATTTCATTTTCATAATTTTGTTTGCTTTCTAAGTTTATCAATATGCAAAAGGGTACCTAATAGAAAAGGCAACATAATATGGCTTGGAAAATATTATGAACAAAATACTATGAATGCTATTTGGGAGGAAAATAAGACATTTATATTTTCCCCAAATTTGGTCTGGATACTTTTAAGTTTACATTGTAAACCAGAAACAAAAATGTTCTGTTTCTTTTGTAAAACAGTGATAAATATATAGATACACATATTCCTTGAAATAATTCACTATGAAATTATTGGATCTCATCAGGAAGGCAAGGCTAGGTTTAACCCAATGTTCTTTAATATCTTAGAGTAAATGTCATTTTGTTGATTCATTTTCTCTTAGTTGAGACATACATTGTGGTATTGTGGCTTATACAAATATGCTTCTTTTTAAATAAGTGTTTGTTTGCTTGACATATCAATTAATTTTTAGAATTTTGTTTCTAAAAGTCTGAAGCCCATCAGGATGAAAGGTCACAGTTTCTTATTCAATACATAATATGTACCCAGAGGTACATATAAGGTACCTCTGGGCTGACTCTTCTGCCACACCCTCATTTGGCTTTTTATCATTACTTTATGAGACATTGTGCCAGCAGCTATGTTTAAAAGATGATGACCCTTCCCATGATGATTCACAGCCAAATATTTATTAGCCAGGGTCTGCCAGTTATTCCTGAGACCCACCTTTCTTGTTTAACACAGTGCAATGACTAAAATAGCTTGCAAAATTCTACCTCTCCATCTAGCAATCAATAGTTTCCCAAGTTCTTATGACTGTATTTCAAGTTCTTTGTTAGTAATGTTTGGAAAGTCAGTTCAATCATCAATTATTTTTCTATGGCATGCAAAGAATTAAACAACTATTTTTAATCCTTTGAAACTTCTTATTGTTTGATAACAAACATATGAGAAGATTTGGTAAGTAATGTTATGAAAAGTCAAATAAGAGAGATAAAAGAGGTTATGTTATTCTTTGAAGGGAATAATTTCAACTCAGGCACCTGTGTTCATAAAGTAATGTAGTATTCTTTGCATTAATGAGATGCCATATTGACTAAAACTCTTTAAAAAGTAGAATACAAACACCAAGCCAGTAAGAACTGGAAAAATGCTAAACTTAACTCCATTGTAATTTGGACCTGTCAACATAATATCAGGACAGCAGTTTGGGAGATAATTTCCAGGTACATTTATAGTATTCCCCTTGTAGTAAGTGAAAATATGCTTTATCAAACAATCAAATATTTGCCCTAAGTTCTACTTCAGGATGTTTATATTTGCTCAACTTAAAGTCAAGCATTTATTTTCAATGGGACTTGAGAGTCGCATGCATCAGGAGATTGGGAAATAGTTGTATACCTAATAAAAATTAAGAAAATCATTTACTACCAGCTAAAAGTCAGTTTTAAGTGTTTGATTCTTGTCTTCTCAAAAATACACATATGATAGTGGGCTGATATATGCAGATTTTACTCACTGAATTTACCATTACAGGTGAATAGACTATCTCTTTTCCTCTGAAGATCAACATTATGTGCTGTATCAAACATGTTCCTATGAAAAAGGAATCATCTCCATAGGCTCCTTTGTGTGACTTGCTTTCATCCCTGCAGCCAAGTTAAAAGGATCATACTATATAATTAAAACTAGGAGTAGCTATGGATAATACTTAAGGAAAAGCTCCACGATAGAACAGAACACAGGGTTTCGTAGATTATAGTCCTTCAACAAATAGTTGTTGAAATAGATTGTATATAAATCCTTGCATTATCCCTAACTAAAATGACTAGTTCTCCTATTTACTTCTTTTGCCTAGGTAACTACAACAGACAAAGTCACTGCTATACTTGACTTTAATTTCTTCTTCAGTAGATTTCCACACTTAACTATTTACCTACTTAAAATTTTGAATTATCTTCTTAAAACCACCTAATCACATCATGAATATTACCAGAGACTGTTCTCTAAATGCACCTTGGGGAATAATTCATTGCCTTACCATGAGAAAAGATAAAAGATTAAAAAAAAATGTTTGAAGGCAAAAGTAGTAACACATAGAATACATAGTTCATTTGGATATCTTTTTTATTATTATCATTTAATGCCTTATGTTTTATAGGTACAAAGTCATTCTGAAACAATGTTTGTGGAACTTTTAATTTAAATTTTCCACTCTGAATAATAGTTGACATTGAAATTGTTCAACTATGTTACAGTTTCTCTTTATAAGAGAAAAACATCACTTAAAGACAGGCCATCCACAAAATTTTTCAGAATTGAGAAATAATTTTCCAATTGTTTCAGTCTTGGTCAAATTTGGCTTATGAACACCCTGACTTCATAGGCATAAAAAGGTATAAGGTGTGCGTATGAAGTCTAAATCACGTGAATATAATGTGTGTGCTTTTTCAATTTAAGTTTACATATTTCAATATGCATGGTTTTTTTCTTATAATTATGAAATGAAATTTAAAATATTTGATCTATCAGTATGTACTGATAAATGATACAGCAGTAAATGCAAATTTCGTGGTCAAGTTTAAAGGACCAAAAGAAAAAAAATCTTCTTTCATTGTTCATGTTTTATCTATTTTTAAAAGCCATAGGGGGAAAAGTGCTCTCAGGGAAAAAAAAAAAAAATGAAGCTTTACTGCAAAAGAAATGAATGCAAGAAATAGCACTTTAAGTAGTGAAGAGACGTGAAGCATTGCGACTTCATAGCCTGCTAAGGAGCAACAGCTGTACCTAATTTCAACTTGACGTGCTTCAGATCTCATATTCATATAGGTATTTAATGATCCAAACATAATGGTCCTATATAGAATAATTACTGATATGAAGGAGCAAACTTCATACGCATTCCTTTTTAAATGATCCTTCAAGAGAAAAACTGCACTGGTTCTTTGAACAATGAATAGTCTCTTTCACCAATCCAAATGTTTGGGGCTAAATAGCTTATCTTTTAAGAGAGAATAATAATAAGTGCCAAGGTTACTTCTTTTTGACAGACTCTTTTTGTCTCCCCTCTTCCCAGTACAGCCAGTACAATGATAAAAGGTAGAATGCCAAGCCTATCATTAAGTCATACTGATAGATGGTTACAAGAAATATCAGAAACAAAAGGAAATAAGATATTTTAGAGCTGGTGTATTTTGAGAGTAGAGACTCATTGCTTTGAGCTTGACTTTCCTGGACAGAGAGACTAGCAGAAGCAGAGCTATCAGATTCTTTGATACTAGAAGAGCATCGCGACTGTCCAGAGTTTATTAATCCTTCATTTTCATGCCTTTCCTCTTCTGTGTTCTCCAGAGGCTCACTGATTAAAATCATTGGCCCCAGAGACTTTCCCATCCTGCATTCTCCTGGTTGAAAATTCTGGCCTATACATCTTTCTTTTCTACCATCTGATATCATTATTTCTGAACTTTTGGAAAATTCTTTGGGTTTAGGCACAGCGTGATCCTGGGTTTCATCGGTTGGATTACAATTATATTCTGATTTGGTAGGAACAGAATGGGGAGTCATGGTCGCCGTTATACTCTCTACAGCAATTGCCTGTTCACAAGATGGCACTGACACTTTAGTCTGGTGGCTGGAAACATTCTGAGAAGCTCTGCTAGTGTCTGAGTTAAAAGCAGAATAAACCAGAGCATCTAAATTTGTTTTATTTACCTGTCCAAGATCTCTATTTTCTGGGATTTTTTTTTTGTCTGTTGACAACATTCCGAACTGTAAATTCAGTTTTGACATTGCTTTTTGATTGCCTGTAATGGCCTGTGAAGATTCTTCAACTGATGTGATATTTCCAGTGCCACATTTCTCCCTGTCGTGTGCCTTCCCGGGATTGTACATAGATGTGGTTTCCTCCTTCTCCATTTCATCTACGTGTACGTTACAAATATCTAAACGTGACTCCTTTTCAAAGTCGTTGTCATCGATTACACCTGCTGTATCTCGTTGACAAAGGGTATAATGTGAATCATCATCTCTCCCTTCATGTGGATCAAACGCTGTTTCTTTTACCTCGATGGGCCTGTCACTTCGTGCTGTCTCTTGAGGTAGCTTAGCAATTATTGCTTTCTCTCTAGCAGACATGCTTTCTGGAGTACTTTCTGATGTTGTCTTAATTATATAAGCTGTTCCTGCTTCTGCTTTCTCAGTAATACCATGATCAGCTAGAGAAGACAGTTCGTAACGCTCTGTTTCTTGGCAGGTAAACAATTCTTCCCTAGGAGTAGCTTTCAAACTCCTAATGTTATCTCTTTTTCTGCACATGTCTTCACAATCTGCTTGTTCTTTGATCTGCTCAGCTATATTTATCTCACTCTTTCTTGCTTTTTCCTGACTTTCCAGAACATTCCAATATTGTTTAGGCTGTTTATTCTTATTCTGATCTTCAGGATTAATCCAACCTGATTTTTCTTCTTCAATTTGGAAAAGATAATCTTCCCTTAAACCATTTCCATTTCTTGGTGAGCAAGCTTGACTGGCTATCCCTTCTAAAGGAGTGCCTTCATCTCTTGCTGGACTTGTGAATACAACGTCTTCACAATTTGGATTTTTCCTTGATGAGGGAAAAGTGTCTGCTGTGATTGTCTGGGCCAGAACTGTAGTATCTTTGCCTAGCACAGGAACTAGGTCTCTGTTCCTAGCTTCCAACCCTTCTACACTTATTTCAGAGTGGCCCATCTTTCCTTCTTGGTCATGTAAGATTGACTGAAATTTTTTGCTTTGTTTTTCATGAGCACCTAAGTGTATTCTTCGTTTCTTCTCATCCATACTGTTGCTATAACTTTCTTTGGAAGATACGTTTTCTGTTGATTCTACCAGATATGTGGATGTATCTGAATGGAAATCTCTTCTTGAACATTCCCAATCTGTTATTTCAATTTTCTTAACTCCTCCTTCATGATTCTTGTTAAGGTTTTCTGACAATAGTCGATCTGAGGAGGGACAGAATATTTGTACTCTGCCACTCACTTGGGCTGGATTGGCATTATCATCTAGAACTTCTTTGCTGCCAGTATGTAATTGCACTAATTCATCACTACTGGTTTCTCCCAGTGATGACTTGATTTTTCCCAAATCTGAAGCAATTTCCTCTGAAGCTGGATGACTATCCTCATTTCCAAAGGAATATTTTTTATTGTGGTAAAAATCTCCCTTTAAGGAACTTTCTGCTGATGAACTTGGAGACAAAGGCCTTTTGAACAAGTCAGTGCATATTTCACCATGAATTTGCTTCTTCTCTAACCCCTCAGCTTTATTTGGGAAATCAACTGGATCTGTTGAAAATGTGTTCTTTTCGACTCTTGAAGTGGCATTTCCAGTTCTTAGTAAGCGTTGATTTATCTTATGGGATAAAAACAACAAAAATAATGACCATCTGACTAAATACATTTTATTAATTTGGTTAGTAATTTTTATCTGATAGATTTCCTTGATGCACCTCATTTGCAAAATTTATACCAACTCTGGAAGCCTGATGTTTTGGGGAGATCCTTGTAGGCTGTGACTTGGGAATGAGATTAGTAAGAAAAGGGAACCAAATTAATCACTCTCCTTCCCAACCTCTGAATATCACATTGTATTATTCACTATTCTTGCTTGTCATTGCATTTTCTCCTCACTTAGGATATACACATTGATAGCTCCATGCTAATCAATTAGAGAGCAGCTTCCTGGGTGCCCCTCGCTGCATTTACACTTGCTGTAGGTGCCCCCATTACAGTTTCTCTTATTAATATGTTTTCTGCAAAGCCTCTGCAAACTATTAATAGCAAAACGTCACTCAAAGAAAAGTGAGGGAGTTAATGTCTCTGCAAATTCTGTTTTAATGACCCTCTGCCAACTGGTACTCAAATGTATTTGAGCTCTTCAGTGATGCCAACTGTCAGGATTTAACAGTGAGATGCCTGTGTTTTTTTTTTCCTCCTCATAACTGACATTTGCATGATCTCAATAATTATATGCAAATCTTACGTTTCCCCCTTCTTCTCACATAAGGCTCATGTTACTTGTCAACTGCACAGCTGTCTTGTAAGCCAATGCCTGTGGGTTCCACAGATTTGGTTGTATTTCCATCTATTATAGAGCTTCATTGTTTTATGCATTAACGTCAGCATGGAGCAAATTAGCATCTAAATTACTGCTCCCTGTTCATTTATTGGACGTACAATCTCAGTAACTTCTAAACAAACTTTTATATTTGAGTCTGCTCATTGTAATGAGGTGTATTGGTGAAGTATGTGATTTTTCAGGGTACTTTCATTATATTCTGTAGTTTGAAAAAAAATTGGTGATGTTAACTTTCAGCTGGTGAGAATTCTCAGAATGGGTGACAACTTTGTAGTTTCTTAAAGTTGGAGCAAAGTAAATTGCATACTTTAGTGATGCAGTTGCCATATCACTATAGAAAAGGTGGAATATGTGGGGGGAAAGATAAGCTCTATTTCTTTTCTGTTTCAGCACTGACACTCGAAGAGGCAAATGTCATTTTAATCTTAGATGATTATGAATCCATGTATCCCAATGATATGAGCTCCAACCAAATACAATAAGGGATAAATTGCATTATGTGACTCATTTACTTCTATTTCTTCCTTTATGATAAAAGTGCTATCTAAACCATCCCCCCCAAAAATCCCCAATAGATTGAATGCTCACCAAGTGTGAAATTTATAACAAATTTAATACAAAATTGTACAGCACTGAATTTGTTTCCTGTTTAAAAATTATGGCACAGGCTATTTTCTTCTCACTTGGTAATTTAATACTTTACAATGATATAGAACTTTGAGATTCTCACAAGGATGGAACTAAGTAAAATGTGAAATGAAATGCTGTTAAATGCAAGGATTATAGACTTGTAGAGTTGGACAGGACATTAACAATCATCTCGTCCAGCCTTCTCATTTTACAGACGAGTTTGTGCTAAGTGTACACGTGTCACAAAGATTAGAAATGCACATCAGGATAGTGCTACCTCTCCTACAATTCCTGTAAACTATTACTCAGAGCCTCTGGTACAGAGATAAGAAATGAATGTCATTAATTTACCACTGCAGAGACCAGAAGCAACATACTGAAATCAAAGTGCCTTGTTGATCAAGCTAGAGATGCAAGGAAAGAATAGACAGTGCTTTCACGTTTGCAAATTATATTAGTTGAAGCTATTGAAAAGCAGGCATTGCAGCATCTTTGAAGCATAAATGGATTCATCTTCTCTAATACCGTGGCAACCAGAACACTTACCATCAACTCTAATTCTTTTTCATTATGTTCATCATGTTCCCTGTTTACGTCTTTTACATTCTGATTACCGGTTTCCAAGTCTTCCTTGTCCTCATGAGAACAAACGATTCTTGGGATATAAGCATCTGTAAAGTTGATACAATGGCACCTTTATAAGATTGTTTCAATTGTAGGCTTTCAAAAAAGAGAAAAATTCTGTTTAAAAAATAAATAAGAATATTACCTGTAATCTTTGAATTATCAAAGTTATTCTCTTCTGATGTTACTGATGATTCTTCTTTACTGTTAAAATTAAAACAAAATGTTATACATTTGTCCTGGGACTACATCTTCTAAATATTTTTATACAGGGTGAAATTCAAATTAAGAGAAAGCCAAATAAACATTACAAAACATATTCACATTTTCTTTTATTACTTTGTATATTTTTAAATAAAATTGATCTTTACAATAATTCAATAGCAAATACTGACTTTGTAAAAATGTTTAATAATTCCCATAATGCCATATTTCCAATCAAGATTACATTGCTCACATTAAAATTTATATAACCATAGTGAAAATGCATATAAATGTAAATTATTTTATCATTCATGAATTTAATAAGCACAAGTGAGAACATTTCTCTCTTGGTTTAAATAATGAAGTCTTATGCACTGGTAGTCCAGCTGTGGTCATAAAATTACTTTCTAAGATATCAACTATTGATTTTGTATTTTATATTATCTATTTTTTCAACTGAATTGATATAACATTTACTCTCACTCCAGAAAAGAAGGAAAAAATTTAAAAAGCTAACTAAAAACTGAAAGGCAGCTAAATTTATACTCCATTAAAAGTTTTTATATGTGTATTGCCACTGGCCATTTTATAACCAAGACTTGCAGATTGCTCAAATGCAAGCAGATATTTTCTTTCCTTAAAATGATTCAGGTTACATTCCCTTTTTCTACTATACTCAGATAGAGCACAAATCTTTAGGGTTAATAAAGAACTCAAAAAACTAAGCTCCAAAAAGATAAATAAATAAATAACCCAATCAATAAATGGACCAGGACCTGAACAGACAATTCTCAGAAGAGGATATACAATCAATCAGCAAATATATGAACAAATGCTCATCATCTCTAGCAATTAGAGAAATGCAAACTAAAACTACTCTAAGATATCATCTAACTCCAGTCAGAATGGCAGCTATTATGAAGACAAACAACAATAAGTGTTGGTAAGGATGTGTGGAAAAAGGTACATTCATACATTGCTGGTGGACTACAAATTGGTGCAGCCAATATGGAAAGCAGTATGGAGATTCCTTTGAAAACTGGAAATAAAACTACCATTTGACCCAGCTGTCCCTCTTGGCCTATACCCAAAGGACTTAAAAACAGCATACTACAGGAACACATCCACATCAATGTTTATATCAGCACAATTCACAATAGCTAAACTGTGGAACCTACCTAGATGCCCTTCAGTAGATGAATGGATTTTTTAAAATGTGGCATATATACACAATAGAATATTACTCAGCAATAAAAGAGAATAAAATCATGGCATTTGCAGATAAATGGAAGGAGTTGGAGAAGATAATGCTAAGTGAAGTTAGCCAATCTCAAATTTGTATATATTTATAATGTTTAATTTTAGCTTTACTAAAAACATTTAGTATCTTTTGTGGCAATGTAAATGAAAATGATGTTTATGTAAAAATAATTTCATAAGAAAATACAGTTTTCATAATTGATACTGAATTGAACTATAAATTTATATTGCTTAATGAAGCATATAACTATGAAATGATTCATTTTTATGGAATCCAACAACAAACTGACCTACCTTTCCTTCTCCAAGTACATAATGTATATGTGTTCAAAATATTTAGAGACCATGAAGTGGCATTTAATTGTTCCTGCTTCCTCTTTATTCCCATAACAATATAGAAAATCTCATTTGTAGAGGGAAAAATCATATCTAATGAATGATTTTGCTTTTATCTAGCCAAAATACTATCATTAATATATATATACACACACACATATATATATGTTTGATTGTTTTAATATTTTCTTTTTTTTTAGTTGTTGATAGACCTTTGTTTTATTTATTTATATGTAGCACTGAGAATTGAATCCAATGCCAGATAGTGCACTACCGCTGAGCCCCAACCCAAGCCCCCGGCCCCTAATTCATTCTTTAAAATATTTTTTTTTTAAAGTAATGGAGTCAAAAGGAAAGGAGTCTGCCCTTTAAACCCATTTCGGGGACAAATGATTAGGGATACAACTGTATTTTATTATGGTAGTGTCTTAGAAAAACAGGCAATATATAGGGAAAAGTTTGCAATCAGAGGTAAACACAAGGAAGAAAAGTAAAAACAAATGAAATTTACATATTATATAAAATACATGTAGGCAAAAAGTAATCGAAAGTGTACAAAATTCTTAAAGGGAAAAGAATAAAATTATATTAAGATATATTAAAGTAGATCTAGAAAAATTAAGTAACATACCATATTCATAGATAGGAAAGACATATTAGGAAGATATTAGTTCTCTCCCATATTGATCTAAGAATTTAATCCTAATCACAATTTTAAAACTTTATAGCATAATTTGGAAGTATGAGTCCAAAGGGAAAAAAAGGACTAAGATAGCTGGAATATTTCTGAAAGATAGAAAAATAGGAGGAAGAACTTCCCTTAGCTGATTTCAGAGTTCCTACCAAGATTAGCTACTGAGACAGTATGTACTGGTTAAGGGGAAGACAGACTGATCAACAAAACAGAACTGAGAGCTCAGTAACATAATAAGACATTATCTAAAACCTTGGTATATGGCAAATGTAGCATGTCAAACGATAGGGAAATAAAGGATTAGTCAGTTTAGGGAGACAGGGGAAATGACTTCCCTTATGGAAAAAGATAAAACTGGCACAATGCATCTTGAAAATTTAACTCCACATGGATTAAGACCATAAATGTCAAAAATCTTAAAATTCTTAGAAATATATGTGAATATCTTAGACCTCACGGTAGGAAATATTTTCATACATAAGAAAAAAGAAAAAGTAGTCCACAAAAATCAGTTAGTGTAACTCTATGAAAATTTAAATATTGTGTCTTAAAAGACTTTATAAAAACACAAATTCCAAACTAGGAGAAGATGTTTACATTACACAAAGTCAACACAAATAAGAATTAAGAGTATACACAGAGAGAACTCCAAATCAATAAGAAAGCACAAACAATTCATTTGGAAGTGAGAGGGCAGACATTTCACAAAACAGAAAGGACATGATCAATGGACACAAAGAGATGATGGGCACTGCTAGAGAACAGAGAAATGAAAATCAAGATAAAAAGGTGATAGCCTTTTACATACATTTAATTGGAAAAAATTTAAAAGATACCAAAAGTGGAAGATGATTTGGAGACACAGACTTCTTGCACACTGCTGGTGGTAGAATAAATAGTGAAACCTACTTTGGAAAACATTTTGACAGGTGCCTTCTCTAAAATTTAACATTTATATAATCCATAACTACTGCACTTACTCCTAGGCAACATGTGAATGAAAATATTTTTCAAACTGGCTTTCTAGACTAAATTAGATGATGCCTATAAATAAAATTCTACTCTAAAATTTAAAATGTCAGTCATATGATCTAGCATATCAGAGTTTCATTCAACACCTTAAGTAAATCTGATAAAGATGACAAACTTGATTATTGATGATAAAAGGGACCCAGAAATATATATGATTGTGATAAAAGTGAAATGCATTTTTCAATATTTCCCATCTTCCCTTTATGTTCCCTGAGTCCTTTTTGAACAGGTGACTTCTTTACTTTTCTGTATTCTCAGTGGTTAACACAGTGCCTGTCACATAATAGTGTGCTATTGATTAAGTAGGCGTATCCTTTCTATCCCTCCCTTTTCCTTTTTTTTTTAAATTTTTAATTGATTTTTTAAATGACAGAGGAATGCATTACAATTCTTATTACACATATACAGCACAATTTTTCATATCTCTGGTTGTATATAAAGTATGTTGACACCTATCTATGTCTTCATACATGTACTTTGGATAATAATGTCCATTACATTCTACCATCATTGCTAATCCCCTGCGCCCTCACTCCCCCACCCCACCCCTCTGCCCCATCTAGTGTTTGTCTATTCCTCACATGTTCCCTCTCCCTAGCCAACTATTAATCAGCCTCCTTATATCAGAGAAAACATTCACCATTTGTTTTTTGGGGATTGGCTAATTTAACTTAGCATTATCTTCTCCAACACAACCCATTTACCAGCAAATGCCATGATTTTATTCTCTTTTATTGCAGAGTAATATTCCCTTTTCCTTTTGACCTCTCACCAAAATTACCATGGCATTGGTCTTCTCTTCTCTCTCCATTAAAGTTGAATTTCAAAAAAGGATTTAGTATTTTAAAGCACATTTATTTTTATACATCTTCCAGGTCTTAAAATATCACCCTTTCTAAAGTTCAGGACAATTATTTTAATTCTGGATTTAAATGATTGCCCACAATATTTAAATTATTTATAAATTTAGAAATTAAAAATTATGAAAATATATGTTATTTTGTGAAGCAAAATATTTATGGTACATAAATCATGATACATATAGTTATTTTATTTTATCATAGGAGGGTCATTCCATATTCCAAAAGATATTTTGAATCCTACTGTGCACCATGGATTGTAACAAGCCCTGTTAAATCAAAGATGGATACTCTATAGCCTCTTTATCTCAGAGAATCTAAAATGTAATGACAGAAAGAGATCCATCAATAGACAATCATAATTACTGTAATAAGTAATGTCTAGAATAACAAAAAAGACATGACAATGACTTTCTTAGAGCTAAGAGAGGCCAGAAATGAAGACACTGTCAGAACAATCAAGAAATTTTTCACAAAGAAGTAACATTCTGAGTTAGTTTTTAGGAATCAGTGAGAGGCTCCCAATTAAAGAAGAATGATAAGGTCACTTTAGGCAGAGGAAAGAACAAGTGGTTAAACATGAGAGTAAGAAAGCACAACAGTAAAAGCCACCCAGATGCAAGATGTTCAGAGGGTTTGAACTATGGAGGAAGAATCCATGGGACTCCACTGGAGTTAGTTTGAGCCAGACAGTAAATGGCTTAACCAGACAGACAAAATGGGGCTGAATTATTTAGGTATTTTTTTTAACCTATGGAGTGGAAGTAAAGAGATTAAACTTGAGAGCTAGAGTAAGAGTAAGAGAGAGACAAAGAAGG